TCAGGACTGGCAGATAGATTTTACACACATGCCCCACCACAAGACTCTCAAATATCTTCTCACCTTTGTTTGTACCTTTTCAGGATGGATATAAGCCTTTCCCACAACTAGAGAAACCACTGAGTTACCAAAATCATATTACAAGAAATCATTCCAAGGTTTGGTCTACCTGAGAGTATTCAGTCAGATTATGGTCCCGCCTTTATTTCTCAGATCACTCAACAGGTATCCTTGAGCTTACACATCACCTGGCACCTACACATCCCAAACCATCCATAATCCTCAGGAAAAGTAGAAAAGGCAAATGGCCTCATAAAGACACACCTTACAAAACTCATTTTAGAACTACACCAACCTTGGCCTCAACTTTTGCCCTTAGCCTTAGCCAAGCTCAGGGCACTTCCCTGGGCTCCTACTTTCTTAAGTCCTTTTGAACTTATGTACGGCAGGCCATTCTTACTCCACAATCCTCCTACTCCCCCAAATCTCCCTGCCCTGGCTGACTATGTCCCAGTCTTCTCCTTCCTCTGACACCTGTTGCAACAACATGCTGATCTCTGCCTTCCACAACCCTCTGGAGAGGCCAAACCAGATCCTCCCATATCCCCAGGAGATCTAATTTATCTCAAATGTTCTAAATCCACAGGACTACAACCAAGGTGGAGTGGCCCCTACCTGGTCTACTTGGCTACCCCTACAGCAGTCAAAGTTGCTGGACTCCCATCCTGATTTCACATCACTCACAGTTAACAGGCTAAGTCATGTTTTGTTATCCAATTTGGTTCCTAATCTCTTACGTTCTATTAATGATCATTTTTACAGCAGGACTCTTGACAGTCTTTCCTAGAGACTCCCACATCATGCGTAAGATCATCTTCATAATGTTCTATGTGATAACTGTCGTGGTTCTTTCTACCCTCAGCTGTCTGGTTAAACATGACATCCCTGAAAGCCTAAGCCCTTACCTTCCCTATACAGGTACAGCCATTGCCTCCCCTACTCCCCCTATTTAGGAGTTCAACTCCTAGACTGGAGACAAGTTTTACACACCTACCCTCTTAACTTTTATGCTTTCAGATGGGGGAGTAAGCACCTCTCATAATTTCACTCTTCTAACCTCACACTTATTTTTCAGAATTATACCTCACTGTGATAATGATCCTACCTCAACATCATCCTGATAGAATAACATACCTAATTCAAAGGCACCTTTCCCTCTACCTCACCTGGGTCCTTAAATGTGACAGTGCCATGTCTCCTCATAACCTCAGGTCTCTTTGTTTTTTCAGTCTGACATAGGTGCATTCACCAGCGAAGTTGTCCTGGCTAAAACACCTGGCATCAGCGTCTACCTGGGCATCAACCATCATCCTGTTGACTCCCCTAGGCTCCAGTACAGCGCCCCCTGCCAGCAGGAAGTAGTTAAAGAGAGAAATCTTTGCCCCTTTTCATAATAATCATAAGATGGGATAAAAAAGGGTTTTGGCCCAGATGAGACACTGTAGCCAGAAAAGACCTCAGCCGGAATCAGGGAGCTCCTGTCTCCCCTGCCCCTAGAGATTTACCTGTAACTCTATATCCTCCCACCCTTCAGAATCTGCCCCTGGCACCAAACGTGTGCAAATGAAATACCTGTGCATCTCTAATGGCCTTAGGGCACTGCCCTAAGCTTAGACTACTTATATCCCCCCACGCCACGTGTCTGCGAGAGAGATCTCCAGACTTCAGTGGCCAGGGTGCCAGTCATCTCTCTATTTCTCAGAATAAAGGCCACTTTTTGTTTTATACTTCTCATCTATTAGAAATACTTTTCATCTTTTGGAAATAATCCTATCAGTCAGGAGTTAGGTTCCATTTGTTATATGGTCACTAAATATAGTTAACTGAGTCTTTTTGGGATGCTCATAGCAATGGCAAGAGACTACATGAATTTTCATGAAGGAAATTAATGGGAGTCTGCCCTTCACTCTGACTCTTACTGGTGAATCTACACTTCTGCATATGGCAAACAATTTTTACTGATCCATTGCCCCTCAATATTTGAAATCTACTTGGGCCTTCTGATCTCCCATTTATAGCAAGCAACTAATAGGCCTGATCTTTTTGCCTCTAGCAGATGCAGATGAAGAACCTAACATGCCCTGAAGACAGTAAGAGAGATCACTGGTGGCCATTGATTAATTTGTAAATGACTCCTTCATTGTTTAAGGGGGGCTGATATCATCCATAAATGGAAATGGTTGCTTTCCTTATACTCTTGTGTGTCCTTGAATCTCTGATCTCATCATTGTCCACTCCTCACCTCTCAACATCTCAGAAAATAGTAGCTGCCACGTCTTGCCTAATCTTCACTCATTTTCCTATCTTCCATCTCTTTGCTTGGCTAAGGGGTTCCAGAGTACTTTCCTGCCTTTACCTTTGCTCACCTTTGGTTCACAGGACTCTTCAGGGCCTGGGCTGCCTATAGTCTAGCTCTACTTGTAAGGACTGAGGAGTGCCCTGTGGAGTTTTAGAAGACTCACACTCGGTCCATCCTTGTTCAAATCAGCCTCTGAATTATACCTTCACCTAAATCTGGTACTGGATCCTGACAACTTTTGAATTCTCCACTGGAGAACACAGGGCACATTTCAGGAATATTGGATGTATCTTTAGTACATCCAAAGATGCAACAGGGGAGGCTGTTACTATTCCCCTGTGATACTCATTTCCATACTTTAGGTCATTGAATCTTTTATAATGTTGCTTGAAAATGAGGGCCACTGACGCTGCTGTTTATGGAGATTGTAGCAGAAACTAAGAATGAATGTTCTGAAACCTTAATTAGAAAAGCATTAATTTACTGTTTTTTTTTTTTTCTTACCAAGTTATATATAGAGTCACCCTTTAGTACACAGTGGGCTTTGGCTTCAGGACACCATGTGAAGATTAAATCCTTGAAGCCTAAGTCTCTTACATAAAAATGGCATAGTATTTGCATATACCCTTCCTATAGTCCTTAAAACATCTCTAGTTTACTTATACTACAATGTACATATAAATGCAACATAAATGCTATGTAAATAGTTACACCATATTGTTTAGGGAGTTACAAAAAGAAAGAAAGTTCATGCATGTGCAGTCCAGATGTCATTTTTGTTTTGAAGATTTTCAATCCAGAGTTGGTTGAATTCATGGATGCAGAATCCATAGGTATGTAGGGCTGACTGTGTGCTAAATGTCTGTAATTTTGCATATCTATTTGTTGATTTATGTTAAAAGGAATTGCAATTTATTATAATTCCAAAAGGTGCAGGGCCACAAAAATTGTAGATTAAAAGGTTCTTTTCAGACAGTCTGAGAGACATCTAGATAGTGACAATCAGTTAAGATACATTCAACTAGGGCTTTTTATTCTAAAATTTGTGACCCTTTAGTGAATCATCCAAAAGTTCAGTATGATTGTCCAGGGATCCAGAAACATTAATGATATATTAAAGAAGATATCAGAGTCCATTGTACATGTTATTTAATGAACTGTCTTCTGGAATTATGCATACAAACATGTACTGGGGTTTGGTGTAAAATTTAATTTCTTAACAGAGTCATTTTCAAGACAATTTGAAAGTTTCAGCACCAAAACTGAGCTAATATTCTTAGGGGGCATTAATGAATATCTGGGGAACAAATTTACCTTTTTCATTTTGAGTTGTTGTTAAATTCAAGTAAATTATTTTATGGGTGCAATTATAACTGCAAATGTTTTTAATCAAGTTTTTCTGAAGACAGATTCCCATATGATCTCAGAGTTCATACCATTCTGGTGGTCACTGCTAACAGACTTAGCGCTCTGTGCAAGCAGAGAGAAATCTTTATGACAAACAGTATTGTACCTGTATTCACCAGCTATCTCTACATGGATGTCTAACTGTCATCTCGAGCTTACATGGACAAATCAGAACTTGAATATCAATCCAAATCCATTTTCGCAGCTGTAGCTCATCACCCAGCGAGGTGCACAGGTTCCCATTCTAGGGTTTGTCTTCAACCCCTCTCTCTTACTCTCTTCACATCTTATCTCAAGGAGATACAGGGAAGGAGAGAGAGACAGGAATAGTGATATTGTTTTATTTTAAATGAATATTAGCTTTTAAAAAGGTAGAAAAAATGATAGAAAAGCAATTTTTTTAGCCTCCAGTATGGTAATTGACTTGAGCAAAGATTACTAGTGGATGCTGAGTCACTGGGTAAAATGTAAAGAAACTGATATATTCTCACTGATTAAAGTTTTCACCAACAAACCACTTTCTACTACCACTGAAAAGATCCGGCTGTCAACATATTAACCAAATTTTCAGTATTACTAGCAAACAGATAGGATGACATTATATGCCTCTTGATAGAAAGCCATAAGGTATACATAATTATCATCATTTATGTAGTAAGATTCTATATATTGTTCAAACCAAAAACATTTATCTTCTGGATAACAAAGAAACAGAAACTTTTAGAACATGGTCAATTGTACCCAACAAATGGACTATTAAAAAAGACAAAGATACACTAATCTGCTAGCACAGTACACAGAGCTGACTATACTAGATTGGAAGCATAAGGATAAAGCAATTAAATCAAGAACACGAAACATTTAAATATGGACTTTTAAAAATCATTTTGGGAAAAATTAGATAATTTGAAGAATGTGTTATTTAGGTATGAAAGCTACATTCATTTCACAGAGTATTCCCACTTTTCAGTCACAGTTATTAAATATTTAGCAGTGTTGTGCTATAATATCTGTAAATTTATCTTTAAAGTTCAGGAGAAAAGTGTGTACAAATGTTGTGTGTGTGTGTGTATGCGTGTGTGATGGCGCACATATCTCAAAAGGTTAAACACTAGAGTTAACTGATGCATATGTGGTTTCTCATTGTGTTACTCTTTCAAATTTCCTTTATGTTTGGAAAACATTTTAATGTAAAGCAAAATGCAGAGAAAATGAATAATAAGTAGCTTCTTACCTGTTGCATTCTGTGCTCCTGCCAGCCTGGCTCTTATTAAACCATGCCTTTCCTTGAGGCGAAGAATCCGAACTTTTGGAAACTGAGACATATATTTGTCCAACTTATCTTTTAGGTAGTCTATAAGGATAAAAGAAGAAACATTTAAACTAACTAGGTCTGTCCTAGAAGTGCTTCCATAATGTGAAATTCCAAAAACTATTATATTGCTACAGTTCACTAAATTTTATTCCTTGGGCCATAATTTTATTACCTGAAATCCTTATCGTAGAAGTATTTCATCTAGACCCAATATTCCAAGCTCCCTGACTCCTTCAATCCTAGGGGACAGACTAAACAATGTGTGCAAATCAAAAAACTTGGAAAAGAAGCTGATACTACTGTAGCTGGTTAAGACCACTGTCATTTCTTGCTCTAACATCCTATCAGTCTGACAATTCTTATCTTTTTACATAGTCACAGAGCCATCCAGCTAAAAGACAATTTTTTTTTTGAGGGGAGGCTGTTTAAGGATATGTTTCTATAGCTTCCAGTAACCTCTAGATATAATCAAGCTATTAACAGCTCTCCCACGTAGAAATGGCTCCCAAGAATAGTTTGTGGCTTACTCTTCTATGAATTTTATGTTATATTTCTTGAAAAGGACCCTGAAAATTATATGAGTTTCAGGTCCCATCAGATGTGGATCTGTCTCTTGTAAAGAGATTTTTCTTCTGGGTTAGTAACTGTGTACTATTTCTGTTTATGCTTTCAAAGCCACATCTTAAAGTTTTCAGTTCATTTTCTCTGGTATTCCACTGGTTTTTGAACTCAGTGTGATTATGGTAGCAATTTTGAGGCTAAAGGAACCACTCAGATCACCATGGTCACAGCTGAAGGCTAAGCTGCTCTAGTAATGTCATCCATCTGTTATTTTCTAAAATTAAATGTAGTGGGTTACGTTTTGGGAACATGGAACATGGTCATCATTGGACCTGTAAGAACTCCTGTAGGTACAAGTTATTTGACAACCTAAGTAGTGAGATTCTTCATTGTAGTAAACAAAAATCAACCTAAAGATCATGATGGACTCTGATTCTGAACTTTGGTGAAATCATACTTCTCTGGTCTCCTTGGAAATTTGTCTTCTCGATACTTAATCAAACATACAATCTTCCTTGCTGTAGAGGAAGAAGTTATAAGGCTTCCATTTTGCTGCTCTCCTCAGAGCTTAAATCTAGTTATTATAGTTGGAAAAGCATTCTATAGATTGCGGAGCACTGACTTACTAGAATCCATGAAAAGGACTTGACTTATGGAATTGTAGGGAATATCTCTAGTCTCAGGTATATCAAAACTCCCATCTGCAAGGAGCTATCATTATGAAAATTACTCCTTCATGTCAAGAAAGTCACAGCCAAGTGGAAGCAGAAACAGCTAATGAGATAAGGTCATAGATGACTTTAATATCTCATAGATTGTTAGACCCGTGCCTCTAATTTTACAGGCAGCCGGGTTAGGCAGAGATATTATACGCAGTCAGACAGGGCCAGGTCCTCAAAGGAGACAGTGCGGAAGCCCAGATACCTTGTAACTATAGAGGAGACAGACACCTCCTGCTGTGGGCCAGGCCTCAAGACAAAAGATCAAACAAATGCACCTGCATCTAAGGACTGATATTCTAAACTGGTCTCTCTCACCCTGAGAAAGCCAGAAGTCACTGTCTCAACTCTCTATGCTGAGTCGCTGCACCTCAAGCATTTCTCGCTTTTTACATGACTTGTTTCTCCATTTGTCCAATTTTACCTGAGCAGTTAATCTAATTGGTTAACCATAGTTCTGTCCCACCATGTGCCCACCTTGTGAGTTCCCAGGTTTTCCTCACCTTGGACCTATCTCACCTTGTGGTTGTTCTCTGTAAAAGTCCCTAGAAAAGACAGAGTCTTTGACAACCCACGTGGGACCCATCTGTCTCTCTCTCAGACAGAAAGTTTTGTGTTTTTTTTTTACTCAATAAATATATTCTGCTCTTAACCTCCATTGTTCCTAAAATTCATTCTTCAATTTTAGAGAACACGAACTCATACTGGACATATAGTAGGTCAGGAGTTTCATTTCCCTGTATCACTAAGACTTCATTTTAAAATGTTTATGCTTCATCAAGTTAGCATATGTATATATTTTACCATAAGAACTACAATTGTCTTCTGACAAACTTTGACTCCTTAGGAGAAAGCCTGAGTGGTTTTCTCACCTTTGGTGCTGAAGTCATCCACTAGTAGGATCTCCTTGATGAGGTGCTGGGGAGAGCGATTGAGAACACTGTGAACAGACCTCAGAAGCGTGGACCACACCTCATCCACAAAGCACATGATGATGCTGGTGGTTGGAAGCTGATTGTGAACTAGCTGCTCTGCACACCTGGGCCGAAATGTAAGTAGAGCACAAGAGATGTGTCAGTGAGATCCACAACATGGTTTGAAAAGTCACAAAGTGTCATTGGGTTCACACACACTTTGTATCTACCGCTTGTCCTTGCTGCCTGCCTCTCTCTCCATCTCTCTCTCTCTCTATCTCATAATCAGAAATGGTGGTTGCTAAAAAGACTAACAGTGCTAGACAAAAGTACTTCCAGTGGAGACATAATATTGCAGCCTAAGGATTGGGGATTAACAGATGATCAGACTCTATTTCAGTCTGACCACCATGATTTCTCAGATCTTTAACACTTTCCTTAATTTTTCTGCACCTCAGTTCTTCATCTAGCATATCAAGTGTGGCTCATTCAGAAGGTCTAGTATAGTTTTGACTCAGGAATTTATTCTATAGTAGCTGTTTTTGTCCTTATTAAATTAGCAGAAGAAAGTATTCTAATTATTTAGTATTACTAAGTAATTCATGGTTGCCCTCATAACTTGTTACTGACATGTACCAAAAGAGACACCCTTTCTTTTACTCTGTATCATAGATGGGCCGAGCTATTAAATGCTCTCCAGCTCCCTGTCCTCCTGGAGGCTCCTTATTGAGACCGTGCTGCACAGGACCACAGCTGAAGTCATTTTGCTGACAGAGAAATGAGAGCAAAGCTAAGTGAGAGTCAGAACTCAGGTGGGTTGGAATTGGTCTTAGGTTTTTCTGTGCTCTGCAGTTCATACCACCTCATAGTGAGCATTCTTCTGTGTTGTGCTGGTAATACTGTCCCCAAGGCAGCAGCCAGTGGAACCTCACAAAGAGTATGCCCCCCTGTCCCGCTAACACAGCATAGTAAAAAGACTAAGCATTCTATCTTATTTTGATATAAACCCCAAATCACTGACAGCTTACAAATGACTAATCACTGTTGTGCTTTGTTCTGATTAATTGTTTTGCTTTATTTAATATTCTGTTTTGGTTGGTTTTATAGTGTTCTGTTTTTCATTTGATTTTGCTATTCCTGATTGAATGGACAGCTATTGTAAAGACAACAAGGTATACTATGGTACCTATTACTGTTGTCCTGGTATCCTGCTCTGAAGTTCTGTACCAATTTCACTGCCTTATCTATTTCATGATTATGCTGCTAATAAATACAGTCCAGTCTGGCTCCAAAAGTAGCCACTCAGGAATTCTTAAATCCACAAGAAATAAACAAAAACAGCTGATAGTGCATGTGGCCTCGGTGTGAGCTGATGCTTCTGTCAAATAACATGGCATATTTTGTTTACTCAACAATTAAGACATAGGTAAGAGTTAAAAGCATAGTGAAACAAATCACATATGCATGGCATTTCAGTACAGTTGGCAAAGTACTGTTGTGTACATCAATTAATTCAATATTCATAACAATTACTTGAAAGACACAGTATCATACAGCAATTTTGATTTTACTTTAACCATCCCAACAAATTCTTCAGCAATTCTCCTCTTAATTAATGACATTGTTACCCACCTTGTTACAGCAATGAAGATGCCATTCTAGACTTCGTCTTCTTTTTGATGCTAAATAAAATCAATCTATCACTTTCTGTGCCTTGTATTGTTAGCACACATCTCAACTCCAGCGTTCCACTTTCATGTCACCACCTATAATTGAGAGGTTACCTCTTTGCCCAGGATTATCATTACAGCTTCTTGGTCGGGCTCTATTTTTACTCTTTGCAATATTTACCCCATTCCACTGCTTAAAATCTTCTAGTCAGTTGTGACCACGAAGATCTGTTAACTTGCCTGGATTAAGGAATGTCCAAGGTATTAACAAAGCACAGTTCTGAGTGTGTCTGGGTGGGTCATGGAGCATGACCTTGGTCACTAAATATTTTCCTGGACACTTTCCTGTCTGGTACTGTTCCCCTCCTCTGTTTCCTGGTCACTATGAACTTAGAGGCTTTGTTGTACCACATCCTTCAGCTGTGAAGTTCCTGCTTCAGAGCCAGGTAACTATGGACTGAATCCTTTGAAATTCTGAGCCAAAATAAACCTCTCCTCCTTATGGTATGGATGTCAGCTAACTTGTCCCAGCAGTAGGAAAGCCAACTGCAATCTCTCCTGAGTGAACCCCCCAAAAAGTCGAATACTTTATTACATCCTTGAATTCCCCTGCCCACCCATTTTTCAACTGGCTGTCATTTCACTAGCTACCTATACTCTCTACCTCATCTTTTGTGGTTTTCTTAATCTTTAACATTTTTATAACTTTGCCATACCTTCACTGCTGGCTTCCTTTTCTATTTAGATATTAATTTAAATATTGTCACCATAAAGAGGCTTTCTTTGTCTACTTTATTAAAATTTAGTTGTTTTTATATTATTGTCCACTATGGTCACTTACATTTCTTTCACAACATTCATTTATAAATTTTATTTTCTTGTTTTCTGAATTCAGAAGTTTGTGAGTATAGGTCAAATTTGCCTTTTATTCCCCAATAATACCACAAGATTTGCAGAGAGTTGTAAATGATAAATATTTGATAAGTACATATTCCATAAATGGAAAAATGTATACAGATAGAATACAGCTTAAATTTAAAACTTTCGTAGTGAAAGGAGAGATATTTCCCTGTGAGACAGGAACACAAAAAGTGGTAATATACACAGCTAAAGTTACGTGTAGGGAATAACATGCTAAAACAGTTACGGCTCAGACTGGGGGAAGGTTCTTTGTGAATGTGACAGTACAGGGGTTGAGGGGAATGGAGAATATAGAAAAAATCAGTATGGTGGTTGGAAAGTGCTACTCGGTTACACATGAAAAGATCTCTGAGGGGACAGTGAACACTTTTCTGACGTTGAAGATGCCAATTTTTTAAAGAATACAAATGTATATGTTCCACTAGTGCTGGAAATCTGGGAATAGGAGGAGATAAAGCAAATATTGGATTAATACAAAAGAGGTCATTAGGGTGATGAGGTACAAGGAGAAGGCTGCTAAAGGGTTTGGCAGGTAAAGTGGTTAAATGTTCCATCACAAACCCGGATGGGGCAAAGTGAAGTAAGTCTAAGGAATAAAAGACAGGAGCAAATGTAGCAAAAGTTACTTCCTGTGACTTCATGTCTCTAATTTTTTAACACAAATTAATGAGAAATGCACATTTCACACTTAAATATTCTTTCAACATTTGGTGCTGAAAAAACAAATCCATTCTAAAAAGCAAAGGTCAGTTACATGCATTCTGCATGAACCAACAAGACTAGCTATAACATTCTGAGCATGCTTTATGTTTAAAATTGGGTTGGCTTTAGAAATATTCTAGGAGGAAATCAAATACATTGGGTAGAGTTAATCCAGTGGGTCCATACAGATAACTCTTTATATTGTGAATCAGAAGCATTTTGGTCTGTCTTAGAAAGAAGTTCTGAAAAGTATAATGTTAGTCAGTCTGGAATTGAGGTGGGAAAATCTCTTACATATTTGAGAGATTCAGGCAAGACACCTCCAATCACCAGATATCTGATCCTCCATCCCCATTCATGGTTCCTTAATTTCACCATTAGAAACCTGTATGAGCAGATCATATCAGGGAGGATTCTACAAGACATGGCTATCCCAGACAGTAAGCAGTTTCTGGGTCAATTATTGACAAATACGTATTTTAGGTGTGTTTAAAGAATCACATGAAAGAAAAGAAAAAAGAAAGAATCATATTGAAGGGAACATGATAATACTATAGCTCATGCTAGTGCCTGGTAAAAAGCAGTCTTAACAGACAGCAAAGAGGGACACTAACAGAATGCCAGAGATTTCACACACAAAGTTTCAGAGAGTGTCTTGATTTGGGTGACTGAGATGTCAGGCCATGGTAATAGTTACAAGAGGCTGATTTCCTGCATTACCAAATAGGTCAAACATATTTCTAGGTACCTAAAGAAACTAATGTAAGTGTTTTGTTCATAGGCACAATGGGTCAGATCAGAAAGGATTCTATTACTATTAACTTTTGCATCAAACATTTGTACTAACAGTCGTCTCATTTCATCTAGTTTCCATGGTCAGTCCACTTACTGGAAATGAGTGGGGGCTCTGGCCTGGTTAATTTGACCATCCTGTACATAACTATTATAGGACAGAAAGCTCTGGAATTGAGAAAGGTGATGAGGAATTAAGTTTTGAGCCTTTTTGGGCACTTATTGGCCTCTTGGCCTTGAATGAGACCCTTAACTTTCCAAAGTGTCAGTCTCTTCATTTTTGGGATGAATATTTTAATGGTTGCATCACAGAATGGCTATGAAGATTTGACAAGATAATGGATATAAAATACTTTGTACACTTCATGGTGAAAGTGCATGTGACAACCTATAGCCACCCACAATGCAAATGCACACATTTTGACTGTGCACACTGCCCTTTTCCGAGGCATTTCTTTAATCTGAATCTAAGTGCTCAGCCTTTTATCAAGAGACTCAGAAAGGGATGTTTCACCCTTGCAGCTGCTGTGTGCTGAATGCTCAGCCACTAACCTGATTTGAATGTAGCCTATGAAATAAAGGTTTCAAATCAGTAGATTGAGGGAATGATAACATTCTTTTATATCTATGAATTTTTCATTTTATTCCAACACAGTCAAAATGTACTATGTGGGTCAAGTCTCAGTCTTCACAGTTTTGAACAGAAGGTCGGGAGCATATTTTCTCAACTTCTATTTGCAATTCAACTACAGCCTTGTCAGGAATCTTCAGGGGCTTTCACTCCCCAAGCTCTGGTATCTTCCAGAGCATCAGGGGCATGGAGCATCCAACTGAGGAGCTCTGCCTGGAATTCCAGCCTTTCCTCGAGACTTTAGAACTATTAGGCTTTTTCCTTTCACTGATAAGAGGGTATAGTAATATGAGACATCTGCTTTTGTGTTTTGATCTTTCTAGGGTGAACTCTCCCTGACACTCAGTCTAAGTCACCTTGCTACTGAGAACTTTAAGTCAAACCCATTTCCTCCACTCCAAAGGTCTTA